CCGGCTGCGGGCCGGGATCGAGGCGGCTGGACGCGGGTCGAGCTGTCGGGAGGGCGGAGGTGAGTTCTGGGCGGGGGCTGCTGGGCTCCGCGAGTGGAGGAAGGCGCGGAGGTTTGCCGTCCAGGGATGTCGGCTGAGGCCCCACCGACACCTCCTGACTCCGGGGCCGGGCGGGGGCACGTCCGCGAGCCCCTCTCTCCAGCCTGTAGCTTCGGGTTCGGGAAGGTCATGGGGGCAGCGACCATGGGCCCCCATCTGGGCTTCGAGACCCCACACACGCTGCGCGGAGGGTCGGGCTGGGGAGACTCCTGTGCCTGGGGGTCCGGCGCGGAAGCTGGGGTGGGCTGGGGTCTGCTCCCGGGAGCCAATTTGTGGGGACACGGTGCGTAGGCCTGAAGTGGAGACCTCGGGGTCGAATGTATGTGTGTGTGTGTTTTGCAAGGGTGTCCTCAGAGGCAAATGGTCCGGGAGTGCAAAAAAGTGGCGGAGTGGCCAGGATGCCAATGTCTTCAGGCCAGGGAACTCAGGTTTCTCTCGGGGAGGCCAGCTTGGTGGTCCAGGCCGGATGGGGTCGGGGCTCCGATAGGGGCAATGGAGCCGGTCTATGAAGCGAGCTTATGTGTGGGGGAGACTGGGAGGGAGGGAACTCTTAACTAGCCACAGAAGGTGAGGGAGCTAAGGAAAGGCGAGGCGATGGGGGAGAGGGGCAAAGCGTAGGAGGGCTTTGGGGCCTGGGCCTGTGGGACAGAGGTTGTTTGTGAACTGGCTGTTCCCTTGATGAGGACCCGAGGGGGTGGGGCAGGATGTATGGAAAACAAAATTGAGGGTAGGGAGGGGCCATTTCTATGACCCCCTGCCCCAGCACAGGAGGAGCAGCCCTTTGGGTGCCAGTTCAGATCTGTCCCTTGGGCCCTGGTTGCCCCAATCTGTGGTTTGGAAGAGATGCCTGTGGCCTCACTTAGCCCACTGATAGACCTGTTCCATTAAAGGGCTAGCAGAGTGCTGAGCAGAGAGCTGCAGGCAGGAGAGGCAGGGTCTCGTGAGGAGGGGCGTTGTAAGGATCTGAGCGGGTTTTTTATCCTCGTGGGCATTGTGTGGAGCCCTGAAACCCAGCAACACCACATGCCCGTGGTGCTCCGAGGGCATAAGTACCAAGCCTAAGCACACCTACCCCAGAATAGATCCTCCGAGAATCCTCTCCATCAGGCAAAAAGTTATAGGCTGCTGTGAGGCTGGGGGTCACTCTGGGATAAGAGTCCCTGGTTGTTAGTTCCTACTCAGACACACCCTGGTCCCCAGTGACTGATAGGCCATGCCTATTGGGTAGAATTCAGGGCTAGAGGTTAGAGTAAAGCTGAAGATTAGAGGTCAATATAAGGCCAAGTGTTAGGGGTCAGTCCATGGGCAGGGTTAAGGATCTGTATACGTTAAGGTAGGCATCAGGCTGGGGCCAGAGTTTGGCCTGTGCTTGTAACTAGGGAACAAAGTTACCTTCTGTGTAAATCAAACTGTCCATCCATTTACTATCAAACCCATAGGCATCACTAGTCTGAAATTTGTGGGCCCCTGGGGCAGGAGTCTTTCTCCCCCGTTTCCAGCTGTGGACTCTGCCCAGACCTGGCTTTTGGGAGCTGAGGTTGTCCTGAGCTCCATGGTCAGCATTCTCCTTAAATGTTTCTGGGTGTGTGTGAGTGGTGGGGGGTTCTGGACACAGGGGCATGTGTGCCTGCTTGGGTGGTGGCCACAGCCTTCAACCTCCACCTCTTGGAATCAGTGGGAGCCTCCTCCTTTAACACAATAGGTTCAGTGCCTACCTCTGTCCCTAAAGAACTCAGGATGACTAGAATAAAATTCTCAGTAAAACCAAAAACTTCTAACAAGAGAAAATTCAGAATCCGTGTCACGAAGGGAAAGAACACTGCTCACACCTGCCCAGGTCCCTGCTTCATCAGCACCTACCATACCTGTACTCGTTGGTCCTCGCAAGCCCCCTGTGTGCATTTTACAGGAAAGGGACTGAGGCACAGAGAGGTGACATGGTGCACTCACACCAGTGCCACAGTAGACCCTTGTCATCTCTGACACCCCAGTGTAGGGGCGCTCAGTGTACAACACCCATGGGATAACTGGACAGCTTCAGATAGCTGGGAAGATTATAGGCACATGGTTTGGACATGGAGCATACAGGAACATGGCGGTTCTAGATTGTTTCTCCTCCAGGTACAATCGCCTTGGTCCAGAAAATCCATTCATTCATTCAACAAAGTGGTTCCCAGCACTTAGCTCAGAGCTTGGCACAAAGAAATCCTCAGTAAATGTTTGCTAAAGAATGGAAACAAACAAATAGGGCTCCTAGCTCCTCCCTTGTGGCCTGATCCAGTGATATGCTGGTAGATGTTTTCTCCTTCTTTGAGAGGGAGAAAAACCTGATTTGCAGTGTTTGCCAATTTCCATGGTGTAAATACTCCCAACCATCGCTGATTTCAAGCTCCCAGTGTGGTGTTGGTGAATACAGAATTGGGAAGAGAGACACGGAATCAGCTCTCAAGAGCTGCTGGGGGCCAACTCCAGCTCACCACTCCATTATCCTGAGCTGGGCTCCTGTCCCTGGCTCCCAAGGCCCCTACCCTCCCCCTCTGTTTGCTCTGCTTTTTCTTGGCATCAGTCAGCTTGCTATATGAGTGCCCACAACCAGCCCCCATCCTTCTCCTGATTCTGATTGCTGGGCATCCTGCTGTATACCTCCATTTACATGAAGGACAGCAGGACTGTATGTGTCTAGAAATCTCCATGGTGTGAGCCATGCAGGATTATCCTGGACATACAAGAGTATGTGGGCATCTGGGTGTCTGCCCTCAATGGGGCTGGGTTTGTATGAACTCTGCAGGAGCAAGGGTGTGTGCATGTGTGTATGGGTGTGACAATGCCCAGCTCTGTGTCTGCCTGTGTTCTGTTGGCAAAACTTCCTGATTCAGCCACTGGCTACAGAGAAGGAGTGGGCTCTGGACAGCCCCTACCTTTGTTTAGTGGGCAGCCAGGCCCACAGATGAGGACAGTAGCGTCAATGATCTGTAGACTGACTAGGGGACACTGTTGAGCAGCACTCCTCAGACTTTAATGTGCACCCAAATCACCTGGGGATCTTATTAAAATATGAGTTCTGATTCAGCAGGTGTGGGCGGGGCCTGAGATTCTGCATTTCTCACAAGCTCCTGGTGAAGCCACTGCTGTCAGTCCTGAGACTACACTGAGTAACAAAGCTGTCGACGATTTGGAGGGTCTTGCTTATAGTCTGGGCCCCCGAACTTCACAGACACAAGCTCAGGTTCCTCCCATCTTAGAAAATAAATATCCTTCCTCACCTCCTTCGAGCTTTATCTCCCTCTGGCAACTGCACTCACATCCTTTCCTGATCTCAGCCAAGCTTCTCAGAAGTTGTAGCTCAGTTCTCTCACCTGCTCACTCCTCACCTAGGCTTACCTGCCTTGGGCCATTAAAACAAGTGTTTCCAGTCTCATCTAAGGACCTATTATTGGCATCTAGCTTTGCCCCCTTCTCTTAGAGTGATCTTCAGGAGACGTCTCGATCTCCTTGGCCAGCCCACCTTCCTCTGTGCAGCCTGGAAGTGTAGATTCCCTTTCCTTTCCTCCCCCCCTGTACTCTGCCAGTGTCCCATGACAAGGACTCCCCAAGGCACATCTCCCCGACTGCCAGATCATAACATCTGGCTACTTGGTATGTTCTCTCAGCAGTTCAAAATCACACCCCAAACTGCCCCTTACCCCTGCCAGCCGGCGTTCTCCACTTCACCATCCACCTAGCTTGAACTGGGCAATGCCACCCTTGACACCTTCCTAACCCCCCGTACCCAATCCAGTCAGCCCTGTTGGTTTCACCTTCTGTCTCCTAAATGTCTCCACTTTGGTCTCAAGGCACACATGGCGGGCTGCAGTAGGCCGACTGGGCTCCTGCTTCCATATTGCCCCATGGCAATCCACTCTCCTTGTGCAGCTGGAGGGGGTCTCAAAACACAAATGTGATCATCCCCCACCCCCACCCTGCCACTTTGAACCTTTCAAGATTTGCTATCGCTCTTCATATAAAACCAAATCTAAAATAGGGTCCATGGTGCCTGCCTGCGGGGGGGGCACCCAGCCAGCCCCTCGTCCAGCCTTACCACGCTCCCCTTCCTACCCACTGCATCCAGCTGCCACCGTCACAGCCTCGGCATCGTTTGTAACCTCAAAAGCACTTGTGTGACTATCTGATTATGGTGGTCTCCCCCACCAGGCTGTGGGGCCCCAAGGCATAGACAGGGTCCCTCTGAGTCACTGATGTCCCCCAGCACCTGGCACAGAGTGGGCACTAGAAAATATTTAAGAGGATCCTGATTCCTATGAAGCAAACCCATTTTTGAGACAAGCTAGGCCTGTGGGACTGAACTTTAGATGAGATTTTAAAATTACTGGCAGATTTTTTAGGCATGAGAATGGTGTTGTAGTGACTTTAAAAAAAAATCTTTATCTGTTGGAGAAACATACTGAAGAGTTTATAGGTGAAACAACATGATGTCTGGGATGTGCTCCAAAGGACTCCAGCAAAAAGTAAATAAAACACATAAACATTCAGTGAGCAGACAAAGGAACCAATAAATCCCATTCTGCTTGTCTGTTCCTGTTGACAGCTATAGGGTCTGCTGCAAGGATGCTGGCTGTCCCGGAGATGGGCCTGCAGGGGCTGTATATTGGTAAGACCCCCACCACTCTGCCCTGACACATTGCCCCACTTGCCCCGGCACTGAGATCCACCTGTAGACTGTCCACACATGCCTCTCCCAGCAGAGGTTCCTGTGAGCCCTTCTGTGTATGTGAGTGTGTGTGTACGGGATGGGTCTGTGCACAGGACCCCTGTGTGTATATGAGCATGTGCATGTGCATGTTTTGTGCAGGGGGTGTGTGCACAGGACCCATGTGAGTGTGTGTCTGTGGGTAGGTCTCTGAGCACAGGACCTGTGTGAGAGTGTAGTCTGCAGGTGCATGTGTGGGCACAGAGTTCTGTGTGCATGTGTGTCTGCTTGTGGCATGGGCTGAAGCAGGCTCCGGGTTCTCTGCAGGGGTGGGAGGCCGGCAGGCAGGAGGGACACTCCTCAGGAAGTCCATTCACAAAGACCTGGCAGGCTGGGCCCTTCCTTCCTGCCTCCCTTCCCAAGCTGAAACCACAGCAAATTGGCCTCTCAAGCTGAAGCTGGTGGCAGAGCCTGAGGCGGTCTGGCTGCCTGAGGAAAGGGAGCCCTCAGAACGTGACCACCATGTCCCTGCCCCTGTGGCACCTCAGACATACTCCGGCCCTGTCCAGGAACTTCCCAGAGTCCCCCTCATACCTGATCCCTCACACGTTCCCAGGTTACCCCAAGGCCGGGGAGGGCTGGGACCTGCCCAGGGCCACATGGCACAGGCCCCTCCCTGGCGACAGACCTGCTTGATTTGTCTATGGATTTTCATGTCAGATCCCACTCTGCCTCTCTGGCCAGCCTCCCTGCCCACGTCCATGGATCCCAGGGTAGTCCCAGTGCCCCTCACATGACCTTAGCAAAGCTCAGTGTAGTGGTGACCAGCCACCAGCCCACACCTATGGGTGTCCAGCCAGGCAGGTCCTCCTGCCCCACCAGCTGCCTGAACTGCCAAGCCAGGCCCTGGGCTGCCTCCAGGGGACTGCTCTACTTTCTCCCACCAAAGGTCCAGCCCAGTCCTAGGCCTGCAGGATCTCAGTGGGGTCCCCTGCTCCCAAATGCTGGCTTGGAGTGTATGTGTGTTTATGTGTGTGAGCGTGTGTGTGTGTGTGTGTGTGTGTGTGTTGAGGGAGGAATGGCAAGCAGACTTCCTCATGTCCTGGTGGTGTGGACGTCCCCCAGCTCAGGGATGGGCTAGGAGGAGGTGCTGCCCCCTCCCTCTTCATCCTCCCCAGGCAGCCAGCTGGGCCTGCCTGTGGCCCTTGTGGAGGGGGAGGGGGGAGCACAGTCAAGTCCTGATTAGAACCATGTGGCCCCTCTAGGATGAAGGGGAGCAGCCCCACCCCTGGGCCAGCTGCCCTACCTCCCAGCCAGTTGGATCTATACTTCCTCTACTGTTTCTGGCTTCTCCACCCTCCACCCCCAGAGCTCACCTGCCCCATCTCTCGTGCCCTACACCTCTGGACTCAGTCTCCCCACCATGCAATGCTTCTCTGTCTCTCTCCCCTCCCCCTGTCATGTGTCTGAGGGGTTCTGGGGGGAGACTGGGTCACTCTGGGGGAAAGGTTGTCTCTGACTGGTAACAGGCCCTCAGCCCCTGCCCCTGCCTCACACTTGTCCCTCCTGGCCCCCCTCTAGTCCCTTTCCCTGGCAGGGTATCCCTTGCCTTGGCCTAGCAAGGTCTGTTGGAGGACCTCCCAGTGCCAGGCCTGGGGCTCAGCCCACCCTGATTGTGCCAGGATGACCTGCCCTCTCTTCTCTGCAGGCTCCAGTCCAGAGCGGTCCCCAGTGCCCAGCCCACCCGGCTCCCCAAGGACCCAGGAAAGCTGTGGCATTGCCCCCCTCACTCCCTCACAGTCTCCAGTAAGCCCAGAGCAGGGATAGGGTGGTGGGTGGCCTGAGTGGCACAGAGGGGGGTTGTGCCTGGTAGAGCTGTGGGACGGCCTGGGCTGGGGAGGAGGATGGAACAGGGTTGCCACCAGGCTTCCTGCCCCTGCACACTCTAGTCATGTGCCCCTCAGGAGGGTTAACCTTGGGTGGCCTTGGACGGTAGGGGTAACAATTCTACAGAGAAAGTGAGCCCTACATAACCAACTCCCAGTGCTCCCCACCGCGGGATGACACCCAGGGGCCATTGCAGTCGGACTGGCTGGGGCAGGTATACCTCTTGAGCATGTGGTTTTCCTAGATCCTCAGAGTACTGGGGCCTCCCAGAGCTGCTCCCCCTCCTATTGGCCACAGCCCCACCTTAATCCAAGTCATGTCTGGGGGAGAGGAGACATGTTGCTAAAAAATAGTTTGGAAACTACTAGCTTGGATTTTCCAAGACATAAGGTCCCCACCCCCAAGCTCCTTATGCACCCCACCCTGGATGGCTTTGCCCTTGTGATCCAGCTTGGGGACCCCCTTGTTCTCAGGGATCTCAGGCGTGGCCTGAGAGAAGGTAAGGACCACTCTGGGCATGTGCACAGGGCCTCTCCTCTCTGCTGCAAAATCAGACAAAGTCTGGTTTGTGTCACTGTGTCTGCAAAGAGCAAGAAGGTGAAATATACACAGGTCCATGTGCTATAAAGCTGTCTGGAGGAGCAAAATTGCTCCCAGCTGGGTCCAGGCTGGTGGATGGTGTGAGAACGGGGTGGAGCTAAGGCAGTCCAGGCAGAAGGTGGGCAGAGAACTGAGGGCAGGAAAGCAGGAGCTTGAGCCAAAAACTGCATGGGGCTACCTGGAGGCCTTGAGCTTTCTGAGCAGTGGGCATGTCCGGGGCTCAGCCTGGAGCCTGGGAGGGCAGGGGAACCCAGGCAGGCGGGCAGGTGGGGATGAGCCAGGGCTGGTCTGGACCACAGCCAGTGGAGGAGAAGGGGCTCCCAAGTGCGGTCAGCCTGACCCTGCTGGCTGCTCGCTGAATCTAGGTCTTGCTCCTGCAGAAGCCAGAGGCCCGAGCCCCCCAGCAGGCTCCCTTCTCCGTGGTGGTGGCCATCGACTTTGGCACCACATCCAGTGGCTATGCCTTCAGCTTTGCCAGTGACCCTGAGTCCATCCACATGATGAGGTGAGGGTGGCTGGGCTGGGAGATTGGTGGGGGGGGTCCTCACCACCTGCAATGGGCCTGGTCCCAGAAGTACTGTCACTGAGACATGGGATCTCCTTAGAACCCCTTCCACCTTTAGTCTGGGGCACACCACTGGAGCAAAAGGTTGAGAATGAGCCCCAGGCCTCAGCTCCCAGCTCAATTGGAACAACTCCCAGCCCTCTGCAGGAAATGTCAGGCTTTGTTCTTAATTTTTAAATTTTTATTGAGATATAACAAACAATAAAACACGCAAATCGTTTTCTGGGCTTGTGCACAAACACACACACATGTGCACATGTTTTTTTTTTAAAAATGGGATCTCATACAACTTACTTTATTTGAAACTTTCAACCCTGTTTTGTAGATGTTTTATGTCAGTACATACAAAGGTACTACTTTCTTTTCACAGTTGCATAGTATTCTATAGTACGGATGTGTTAGAATTTATCCATTCCCCTATGGTTTTAGGGGTTCTCTCCTCTCATTTTTCACTATTACAAAAAGTGCTGCTATGAATATCCTTCTTTGAAAACTTGTGCTGGGATCTCTATAGAGTAGATTCCAAAAGGCAGATTCCTCAGTCCAACATCTCAAATGAAAAACAGGGAAACAAAGGATCAGAGGGTTAACTGAGTTGACAAGTCACACAGTTAAGAAAGAGATTGAATTACACTGTTTCTCTTGCTTATAACAAAATACCTGGGACTGGGTAATTTATAAAGAAAACAAAATTTACTGCTTACAGTTTCTGAGGCTGGGAAGTCCAAAGTCCAGGGAACACAGCTGGTGAAGGCTTTGGTGGTGGCAACATGGATGACAGGGTATCACATTCTGAAAATGGTTTAGCGGAGGGAGCAAGAGAGCAGCTTCCTCATTCAGTCTCCTTTTAAAGCCTTCAGAACCACGCCCATGACCACCGTTACTAATCCATTCACCACTGCACAGTCCTACAATCTAATCACCTCTTCAAAGCCCCACCTTTTGGTTACCATAATAGGATTTCCTACCCTCATCAGTTACAGTGGGAATTAAGTTTTGGGGGGACATTCAGCCCAAGGCAGAGATATTTGAAAAATCCATTCTGATGTTGAGTTTTATTTTAACAAAACATTTGTTTGAACACTCTCCTTTGGACCTCAAGATCCTGATCCTTTGAATGTATCTGGGCTGAGAGGTACAGGGGGGCTTCCTGAGGTGCGGGAGGGTGGATGGAAGGGTGAATGGAAAGACAGACAGGGGTCACTGCTCCAAAGATAAATGGGACTTGAGCTTCATGAGCCGGGACTGTCCTTCCCTTCTCTGCTCCCTCCACATCACAGGAGGCCACAAAGTCTCTGGGCACTGATAGTCTTCTAGGAGCTGCAGGGCATCCCAGCTGGCATGCTCATCAGCACACATGGCTGGGGCCAAGGACACATGAAGGGACACTGTTTCTGTCCTGTGGAGGTGACAGTCATAGGAAGTAACTGGAAGACATCCTGGCCTCCTAAGCCCTCCCTTCCCACCCTCACCAGCCACAAATGCTGTCATTTCAGTGTCTCCCTAATATCTCTGAAATACCCATCCATTTCTCTCCATGACCACCACCCCTGCCCAAATTCAGCCCCCGCCCTCTCTCACCTGGTTTACCTTCTTCATTCTCCCTTCCCTCCAGTCTGTTGCTGCATGGGGACCAGTGACCTTCCTTTCTAAAGGCAAATGTGGTCATGCCTCTTCACTTCCTTACTTAAAATCTACCAAGATAGAATTCTGAAATAGCATTCAGTGATCTTCATTATCTTCTCTGTATTTTCTCTGCTGCATATTGAGCCAACCTATAGCTAGTCCCCCTGCTCTTCCACACTTCGAAGCTCTTGCACATGCTGCTCCCTATGCCTGGATGCCCAGTTCCTTCTCCCAAAAGGCTGCAATGAAGAACTTGGCCTTGAGGGGTCAGGGCTTCGGAAAAGGAATAGGATAAGCCAGCCCGTGGCTCACTTGGGAGAGTGTGGTGCTGAGAACACCAAGGCCACGGGTTCGGATCCCTGTATATGGATGGCCGGTTGGCTCACTTGGGAGAGCGTGGTGCTGACAACACCAAGCCAAGGGTTAAGATCCCCTTACTGGTCATCTTTTTTTTTTTTTTTAAAGGAAGAAAAGGAGTCGGAAGGGGAGGAAGGGATTGTGCAAGCAATGAACTGGGCAGCGAGTTCTGGGTGGAGGCCCAGAAGCCCCTGTAGACAGGGAGGTTCAGAAATTCAGGTTTTGGGGGCCTGCCTGAGGTGCAGTCCCCTGGGGTTTAGTTTCTGATGTGGGTCAGATAGGAATGGCCATGAAAGGCCTTGAAGAAGCTTGGCTGTGGAAGACAGCATGGAGGAGGGCAAACTAGCTGGCCAGGAGAAGTCTGCTAGGGCTCCAGACACACACATCAGGAGACCAGATCCAGGAGGATGGATGATGGTTTGCTGTTGCTGTTAAAGGTGCAGGGAGGTGAGGTCAAGTGGTGTACCTCATGGGAGGGAGAGGAGTTAGGAGGACTCAGTGGCCCCATGGACAGGGAGGATCCCATGGGTAGGATTTATGGAGATTTAAGTGGGTGCCAGGCACCATCTTCCTTCCTATGCTCTTCACAAGAACCCTGAGAGGTAAGTACTATTATTATTCCCATTTTATGGATGAGAAGACTGAGGCTCAGGGAGGCTGTGTCCTGCTCAAGGTCATACAGCTGGCCCCAGAGCTAGAGCCTAACCCCATGAAGGGAGGGTTGCCCTTGCCCACACTGCCCGTCCCGTGCCTCTGCAGGAAATGGGAGGGTGGGGACCCGGGCGTGGCCCACCAGAAGACCCCGACCTGCCTGCTGCTGACCCCAGAGGGCGCCTTTCACAGCTTTGGCTACACTGCCCGCGATTACTACCATGACCTGGACCCCGAAGAGGCGCGGGACTGGCTCTACTTCGAGAAGTTCAAGATGAAGATCCACAGCGCCACTGTGAGTCACACTGCGGCTCTGGGCAGGGCTCCAGCCAGGGAGGTGGGGCCAGGATGGGGAAAAGCAGGGCTAACGGAGAGTGTGGAAAAGCTAAAAGGTGAGGAAGGGCCTTACAGAGGAGTGGCTAAGAGGGGGCGGGGCTAAAGGAGAAGCTGGAGGGGTGTGGGCGGGGCTCAGGAATGGTTGGGGCGGGGCTAAGGAGAGGGGCTGTGGCAGAGGACAGGTGATGTGAGAGTGGTGCCATACTAGAGGAAGGGAAGCTCCAGGAAAAGAGGTGATTTTAAGATAGAGGTCGTCAGGAAAAGGGGGCAGAGCTATGGCCTCCTGAAGAGCTGCTCTTGTCCCTGCCAGGATCTCACCTTGAAGACCCAGCTAGAAGCGATAAATGGTAAGAAGATGCCCGCTCTAGAGGTGTTCGCCCATGCCCTGCGCTTCTTCAAGGAGCATGCCCTTCAGGTGAGCTGTGGCCCCCATCCCTGCTGACTGGGGACCCCAGGCCTTTCTACTCCATTCCTTTCTCTCACCCCATCCCCGTCCATCTGATGGGTAGGTCAAAGGTCAGAGGTCATCCCCAGTGACCTGCCTTCCTGTCTGGTAGAGCCTTGCACCAAGCCATACGGGTGTATGATGGAGAGGGTCTTCCGGCTCAGCTGGGAAGTCCTCCCTGAGGTTTGATTAGTCCCTCCGGCTCCCGTAAAGGGCTGAAGACACCCCCACCTCCACCAAGCCAGCTGTTCCTCTCACTGTCCCCTACTGCTGCAGGAGCTGAGGGAGCAATGCCCATCACTGCCAGAGAAGGACAATGTGCGCTGGGTGTTGACAGTGCCTGCCATCTGGAAACAGCCAGCCAAGCAGTTCATGCGGGAGGCTGCCTACCTGGTGAGGATGTGGGGGCAGAGCAAAAAACGCTGCTCAGGAAGGCCCTGGGGATGGCCCCATTCCTTCATTCACCCGCCATCCCTGGGACCACAGAGTCATTGTGTAATGACTTCCAGCCTTCCCCTGCTGGGAGTTTGGGGGGTTGTTGCCACCAGGAGAGGGAGTGGGCCTGCAGAAACAAAGGAAGATGGACAAGAGGCTTAACCCAGGCCAGCATGGACAGTGTTTTAAGTCAGGTTTCCTAGAAACAGAACCCAAGGTGGAGATTCTCATGCACGTGGTCTGTTGAAGAAAGCCTGTCAGGGGAAAGGAGAGGAAGGGAGGCAGGACAGGAGAGAGAACTAAGCAAGCATGTAGTCTTGGCTGGAGTCATGGGGGAGCTCTGGAGGAAGAACTCTAGCAGAGTTGGCCACAGTGAGGTAAGGGGGCTGGCTTCTTTTTTTTTCTTCCTTTTTTGTCTTTTTTAGTGACCGGTAACGGGATCGCAACCCTCGGTGTTGCGCCCGCACCACACTCAGCCAGTGAGTGGGAACCGGTCTCCACATGGGATCCGAACCCTTGGCAGGAGCGCCGCCACGCTCTCAAGCGGCGCACTCTCCAGTGCGCCACCGGGCCGGCCCAGGGCTGGCTTCTTATACGTCCAGATCAGTCTGTCATGGGTTGCTGGGGGAGTAGGAGGGAAACCTCTGGAAGTGAGGCAGTTCCCATTCAGCTGGGGACAGTTGTCCAGAGGTGGGGCAGTTGTGAGCCAATAGCAGCTGACACTCAAGCAGCTGTGGGCTCCAAGAACATTCAATCCAGCTGGCCTTGGGATTTTCAGGAGCATCTCCCTGGCCCCAACCATTGTAGATTCTTGAGCAGGGGAAGGACTGTGAAAATATAAAGGGAGGTGATTCTGGCAATGTGTACTGATCTTCCTACCACAGAGAAGCCCAGAGATCTGGAGAAAGGCGGGTGGGGGGCTTAGGCACAACCCTCTCCAGTAGGAACAGAGAGGGGGCACAGCCTCCCAGAGCAAGACTCATTGCTTGGTCCTAACCCTGCGGCCTTGGGAGACAGACCCTAGGATGTCCAAAATGGATCTCAAGTCTGCCTGTGAACCCCTCAGCCCATACCTGGGGGCCAGGCATGACCCAGGAGCCAGGTCTGTGGGTGCCTTGTCACTGGAAGAAACTAAGCCTGAGCATAGTGGGTATGCCCCCACAGGGATCAGGATGGAAGCTAGGCTGTCCCCAGCCAGAACAAACACCTCCCACCCTAGTGCCCCCCTGTTGTCAACCTGCCCTGCTTCCTCCCTTACTGTTCCCTGGCTGCCAACTCAGGAAGAGCTGGCGCTGAACAGGAAGTCTCTGTCCCTACCCACATCCCCCTCCCCTATCTGGTCAGAATCTGGGGAACCCCACAAATCATAAAGTACTTCCCAACAGGGATCCCCTGCCCTGATGCAGGAGATAACAGATGCCAAGCATTTTCCCCCCCACTGTCTGTCTTGATGCCTGGAATTCCACTGTTTCCTTCCTGCTGCGTCAGATTCCCTGGGAAAAAAATTCTCCTGGGAGTGGGGCAGCCTGTGACCACTGTCTGACACCAGCCTGGTGGAGGAAGAGGGTTCAGTGAGCTAAATGGGGCTCCCACCATCTCCTCTGACCTGCTATACCCCCACACTGTGCTGGAGTCTCTGCTAACCCCCACCAGTGCTCAGTGGGCACACCCTGCACTAGCTGCAGCCCCATCATCTTAGGAAGCTTGAAAGGGCAGATCCCAGGTGCTCTAGGGTTGCACTCTGTCTAGGGTCTCTTCCTGCTGGGCAACCCCTTGGCCATGGCTGTGTCCTTCCCTAGCCCGGTCAGGTGTGAGGCAGCTCCAAATTTGTGCAGCGTGGAGGAGACTGAGAGGCCTAGTATGCATGAGGTGTGATGGGGAAGGAGGTGAGATCCCCACAGACCCTGGTTCCCCACCCTGGCATGCCATCTCAGGTGTGACAGCACAGGGTGCTGCCTGGTTCTGCCTACTCCCATCCCCAGGCTGGCCTGGTGTCTCGAGAGGATGCAGAACAGCTACTCATTGCCCTGGAGCCCGAGGCTGCTTCTGTCTACTGCCGCAAGCTGCGTCTGCACCAGATCATGGACCTAAGTGGCCGGGTCCCTGGTAGTGGGCGCCTGGGCGAGCGCCGCTCCATTGACTCCAGCTTCCGGCAGGGTGAGTGGCCCCCAGGGGCAGTGCCAACCCTTGAGGGCCAGAGGATCACTGAGGCCAGGGGCTCAGTCATGTCCAGGATGAAGGGGAGGAAGACTCCGCCCTGGATGATCCCAATCTGAGCAGGTAGAAATATCCCTGGTGGTGTTCAGTCAGGGAGGGAGGCACAGCCCTGCTCGGGGGTTAACTAGTCAGAGGATGGGACACAGCCCTGACCTGGAGGAGCCCAATCTGAGGGTGAAGATTTCGCCTTGCAAAAATCTGAGGAGGGTAGGTCTCAGCCCAGCCCCACCCTGAGCTGAGATGAGAGGTCTTCAGGAGCTTTCTCTTAAACAGCCTCTGCAGCAGCTGCCCCTCCCTCTTCCTGCACACTAGCTATACCCCCTACATAAGCCCCCCACCCACCTACATCAGCCCCAAGCTCCTGCTGCCGGGACTGGGCACCGAGGCCAAGAACAGCTATTGTCAATCTTGGTCACTCTCCCAAATGCCATCTCTTATGACAGGGAGAGGTCCTAAGTTGAGCTTCCCTAAGAACATCTCCCTTTCATCTCCCCAAGCTCATCCAAACACTCCTAAACCTGATTTGGCCATGGCCTGAGCCTCCTGGGTTAAGGGAAGGTCCTGTGTCCAGAAATACATCCTCCAGCTGTTGGATACAGAACCTGAGATTACCCCTTGGGTTTCCCTGTACCCTTTGGGGTCTGGCATTGCCCTCTCCCAGTCAGGAGAGGGTAGGAGTCTCAGGAGTACTGGCTGCTCCAGGGGGTCGTGGAGGGTCTTGGCAGGACAATGGGGGCTGAGTGTGGCAGCTGTGGTGCCTCCTTCTAACTTCACTCTCCTGCTGTCCCCCAACCACCAGCCCGCGAGCAGCTGCGAAGGTCCCGCCACAGCCGCACGTTCCTGGTGGAGTCTGGCGTTGGAGAGCTGTGGGCAGAGATGCAAGCAGGTGGGAGGAAAAGGGGATGGAGGGATATTTCTTGGCCCTGCGGGGCATCACATACCGATGGGAAAGAGAACAATTCCGAAGCCACCCCGCCCCTAGAAGTCTGCCCCTTCCTCCTCCATCCACTGTACCTAACCTGGCAGCCCCGTCACAGTGCCTGCACCCCCAGCCACTCACAACCGCACCCTAACTCCCAGTCCTCCAGGGGATTCTCCCCTGACGCTCATGTGGAGTTGCAGAACCTCTGGAACCATTTCTCCCTCACACCCTGCACCCCTATCTGGTGACGTGAGGTTCAACACCTGAAGCCCCTCACATCCCTGTACCCCGCAAGCAGGGCTCGGGACCTGGGGTAGGGTCGGAAGCTGAGCGAGGCTAGAGGGGTCGCGGGGATGAGGGAGCGAGGCAGGCCCCGAGTGTGTGCCGCGTTCGCCGCCACAGGAGACCGCTACGTAGTGGCAGACTGCGGGGGAGGCACTGTTGACCTCACCGTGCACCAGCTGGAGCAGCCCCACGGCACCCTCAAGGAGCTCTACAAGGCGTCTGGTGAGTAGCGGGGCAGCGCCCTGGTGCCCCGCGCGCCCCCGCCCCGCCAACGCCCCCTGGCGGCCGGGAGGGCGCTGACCCCCCCCCTTCGTTCTCCGCCCCACCCCAGGCGGTCCCTATGGCGCGGTGGGCGTGGACCTAGCCTTCGAGCAGTTGCTGTGTCGCATCTTCGGCGAGGACTTCATCGCCACCTTCAAGCGGCAACGGCCAGCAGCTTGGGTGGATCTGACCATCGCCTTCGAGGCCCGCAAACGCACGGCTGCCCCGCACCGTGCGGGGGCGCTCAACATCTTGCTGCCCTTCTCCTTCATTGACTTCTACCGCAAGCAGCGAGGCCACAACGTGGAGACGGCCCTGCGCAGGAGCAGGTGGGCCTGGGACCTGCGGGCTCAAGCAGGATTTGCCGACGGGGAACGCCTTCGCAGGGGAAGGTCGTGGGCGCTGGAGGGCGGGGGGCGAGGATCCGTCTGATCTATCCCACATACACTTAATGCCAGCCTGGCGGCAGGGGCAGGGGCATGGAACCCCGGCGCGGCAGGCTCCGCCCCAGGAATCTGCAGCCCCGACTGAGGCAAGAGGAAGAACCATGGGCCCCAGGGGAAAGGGCGGACGTCTATCTCCTCCCTGCCTGCTCCCCACCCCCAACCCTCGCGCCCTGCCAGCCAATGCTCGTTGGCTTCTCTGCACCGAGGCGAGGGGAGACTCCTCTCCTGTGACCTCATGCCTGGAACTGGAGCAGGCTGGCTGCTAAAGCCTCTAAGAGAGTGGATATAAGGGCTAACGCCCAGCTGGGGCACCATTCACACACAACGTGCGGTCAGCGCCCAGACACATCTGCCTGGAGCTAGGGGTAGGGAGTGAGGACTACAGATCCCAAGCTGGGCCAAGCAGCTGGGACATGGGCCTGTTTCCCCTTCACCACCTACAGCGTGAACTTCGTGAAGTGGTCCTCACAAGGGATGCTCCGGATGTCTTGTGAGGCCATGAACGAGCTCTTTCAGCCCACAGTCAGCGGGATCATCCAGCACATAGGTGAGCGCTTGAGTTCGGGTCCTCCATTCACCCCCACATATACACCCAGATGCGAGAATAATTCCTCCATTAGTGCCTGGAAACCTCCACACATCCATATATTGGGATGAAAGCTAGAATCATGTGGAACACCTGGAGGACAAAGTGCAGTGATGATTAAGAGCTAGGAGGGATGACGTGTAGTCTTGCCAAGTTAAAGAACTTCTGTTGCCTCAGTTTCCCTATTTATAAAGTGGGGTGATAGCACACTGAGTTCCCTAAAATGTTATTACAGGGATAAAATAAGTTGAAGTACCTAGAGTGAGCATAGTGTCTTGCACACAATATCTGGGTATTTCATACAGGTAAATGCACATCCTTATCCCTCACCGTCCACGTTGCGGGGAGAGAGAAGAGGGTGGGGGCAGAGTGTTGGGGAGACAGAGCCCCTGAAGATTGCCAGGAGCCCTCAATGAAAGCGCTCAGTGTTTTTCTTCATCAGAACCGGGTTATCGTTTTGTAGTTCAAATGGCTAGTTTCCAGTTGCCAGGAGGGTTCGGGCGGTGGGGGGTTGAGGGGGAAGACTCGCCAGTGGCCTGGTAGTGGTGGCCTCAACGGCTCATGATCTCTCTCCCTCCTCTCTCACACTCTCCCCGCCCCTCCTCCTTACCGCCCCCACCCCTGCCCCGCCCGCGTTCCGTCCCGCAGAAGAGCTGCTGGCGCGGCCGGAGGTGCAGGACGTGAAGCTGCTGTTCCTGGTGGGCGGCTTCGCCGAGTCGGCCGTGCTGCAGCACGCGGTGTCGCGTGTTTCTGTCCTGTGGAGGTGACAGTCATAGGAAGTAACTGGAAGACATCCTGGCCTCCTAAGCCCTCCCTTCCCACCCTCACCAGCCACAAATGCTGTCATTTCAGTGTCTCCCTAATATCTCTGAAATACTG